TGTCCACTAGTTGATTACTCTGTTCCGATGTTGACGAGGTATTCAGGAGAGTGAGTTCAACGCCCTTAGCCAGAAGGATCAGCAAGACCGGAGAGAATTTTGGTCTCATACAAAGCTGGGATATATCGTCTGTACTACGAGCTTGCAAGGATCTATCAAAACAGATACACGTCTACGGCATTGCAACATCTTCGGATTGTTGTGAGCGATTACGACGCGATGTCCAACGACGACGCGATTGGAGAATGCGTGATCAGCATGAAGGAGACAGGCGGAATGATTGAGGTCCCGCTCGTCACAGGAAAGAAGCTCCTGACCGTGAAAGGCGAGCAGTCCAAGATCTCGGTCAAGATCGAGAAGAGAACATACCCGCCTGTGGCGGGCAAGGGCAGCAGGTTTGCATCCGGATGGCTGGTCACGATTGGAGGCATCAACGTCATTCCAAACGAGGACAGGGGGAGGGAGGAAGGGAAGGAGCTCACCAGTCATGACCTCCTCCTCGCTCGAGCCCTCTCCCTTGAATGCTGAGACAGGTAGCAGCTGCGATAGCTCGTTCAGTTCTGACGTGAGTTGGAAGCAGGTACCTGGAGGCGCTCGCTGTAGAACTCGGCATGCTCCGGAGGGGCCTGCGTCGATCAGAGCGTGAGCAGGAGGTCGAGGAGGAGGTCGAGGAGGAGGTCGAGGAGGAGGAGGTCGGGGAGGAGGTCGAGGAGGAGATTAAGAAATTCAAGAAAGATGGTGGTGACAAGAGGAGAGGGAGGGGGGATGAAGAGACGAGAGAAGTTGGAGAAAGGCGCAGTCGTCCCTCCTATCAACCAAGAAACGGGGGGGGCAGGGGCAGGGGCAGGGGCAGGGGCAGGGGTAGAGGCAGAGGCGGGAAGAGCAGCGCTAGTCTCTATCTCACTTGTACTTTGTCGAGGATGTTGTAATGCATGTATGAAGCGCCAGAGGTACCTGCGTATCCCTGCAATAAAACCTGATGGACGAAAACTTCACAAACAGTAAAAGAAAAGCGAGAGACGAAGGAGAGCTGCAAACAGAAAGAGGGGGGAGAGAAAAGTGGTGGGGAATTGGAAGGAGAGAATTTAGAGGAGAGGAGAGGAGAGGAGAGGAGAGGAGAGGAGAGGAGAGGAGAGGAGAGGAGAGGAGAGGAGGGGAGAGGAGGGGAGAGGAGAGTTTGAGATTAGCAGGCAGCACGTTGAAGGAACATCTTCACTCTCCTGGATGGGGCTCGGAGAGTAGGCAAAGATGGCAGTGCGAGCAGACGCCGTGTAGCCGTTCAAGTTCATCAGAATCTTCTCAGCTCGTCAGTCGCCGCTGGGACTTGTCAAACTCTCACGTGGACTCCCTGCTGGTTGATAGCCTGGGCCGCGTTGAAATCTGAGAGCTGAGAAGTGGGTGAAGTGAATTGCCTCAGCTGAGATTTTGAAAACGAAGGGGGAAGTTTGAAACTTGAGCCATTACCTGTTCAAGGGCGACGACTCGTTCGATGGATTCAGCTGTAACTTTGTCAGTTGCTGCTGAGACAGAGGAGGGGGAGAGGAAAACGGAGGAGCAGGAGGGAGGAGGAGGGACAGAGGGAGAGGGAGAGGGAGAGTGTAGAGGGAGGGGGAGAGGGAAGGGGGGGGGGAGGGAGAAGGAGGGGAATAGGTAAAGGGAAAAGGAAAAAGG